AAAACACGTTTTGCACCGTTTTGTCGGAGCTGAACGCAGCCCTGTACAAAAACAGTCTGTTTGATAGTGCAAACTGGTAGCTATTTGTTGTCATATTATTTTTAACTATCATAATCATAGACACGCTGATTGGTATAGCAGTTTTACGGTTTACTCCACTTTGTTATTCTTTTCCAGTTATTTGCCTGCAGTGGCTTGCTTTGTTTAGTTTTTTTATGGAAGGCTGTTTCCGCCACTGAATTAAAAAAGTAAAAAGGTAATTGCGCCTTTTTTCTCTCAATTCTGACTCCCCCCCCCTCCCCCTCAGAATTGCGAGTTTAGGCTATAAAATTAATTTAAATTAATTTAACAGAGACACAGTTCACAGGGCTTTTTGAGGCTGTTTGAAAATGAACAACTTTAAAGGCTGTTTGAAAATGAACAAAATTAGGTTTTGAGTTACTCCATTTAGTCTGATTACAGGCAATTATCCTAACAACAAAAACAAATCGATAATATATCATTTAATAAGAGTCATGCTCATTTGAACAAAGACAATTAATTTTCATCTTCGATTACAACTTTACTCTCCTCACACACTTTAATGCAAATTACGAACGGTAACACCCACATTACTACATTTCCCAAGATCCCCTCGCACCCCAAGCGCACGCTCTAGTATCGCGATATTATCTAAAACCCTTGGCGTTGTATCGCGAGATTACTCTTGCTGTCTAGTACAGCACTAAAAGCTGTCAGTGAGGTTAGAGGGGGGCAAGTATTTCTCAAATCGGCGACTGCCGTTCAAACAGCGGCGTGAATGTCCAAACCTGTGCTTTTGTGCAATTACAAACGTAACGTGTGACACTGAGGGGGGAAACGGCAGCGTCCTCCTCCAAACGGTGCAGGCCAGCAGTCTCTGAACAGTGCTGTAACACAGCGAGCAAATGGCGTTGAAAAGAATCCAGAAGGTGAGTCTGTGTGCATTGTGTGGCTCGCATAACCTCACAGCCTCTGTCGAGCTCAGATGCTGTTGTGATGTGAAGCAGGCGCACTTTTCTCGTGTGGTCCCCATCTGGTCAAGACAAAGACGCACGGCCAATGGTGGATGCATGCAGTCGACAGACGCACGGAGTCTTTCTGATCTCTACAGATTCACACACATGCTGTTATAAACAGCCACCGTCACTTAGAGACGCCTAAGCTTGAGTGTTTGTTCTGCGCAATATGTGATCGACAACAGCTATTCTCGTTATGCGATGTTGCAGCGTAAGGATCTGCGCGCGTAATAACGCATGGTTTGGGGGTTTACGGGTGCTGTTGTGACAGATGTGTAACATGTAAGTGTGCTGGCGCTGGAAACATTGTTAAAATGTATCTTTTCTGTCGTCGGGCATCATGAATGAGCGAAGCGCCGCTGGTGCGCATGCGTGATGGGCGACAACTGCTTGCGAGTTGCCAAATGCTGAACCCTAATGTCAGTGTGTCCATATATGGCTGGGCAAATAGGGCACTAGGACAGCGGAGGGTATTTTTAACAGATTCGCCACACTGTCCGCATAACCAGCGACTTTAAACACAGAAAAAAATCACTTGGAGTCTGTGTATTTCTTTCAGCGATTCCATAGTCTGAGTGTTTTATAATAAACGAGTCGAATTTTGTCCTTCTTTACTCACCCTCATGTTTTGTTTTTCTAAATGAGGAGAAATTGGAATCTCCAACATTTTTAATGACCAGCTCCAAAAAGGAGTATTAAAACAAAACAAAACAAAAACACCCTATTGACTTGTGTGCTATATTCAGAGTCTTCGTGTAAGGAACAGCCCAAAATTTAAAGGCACAGTGCATCCAAAATGAAACTTGTCATCATGTACTCATCCTCAAGTTGTTCCAAACCTGTATGAATTTCTTTCTTCTGCTGAACACAAAAGAGTATATTTTGAAGACTGCGTGTATTCGAACCTTTGATGGTCCCCCTTGACTTCCATAGTGGGTTTTTTCATACTACGGAAGTCTGTGGAGTGCATCAACGTTTTGGCTACCCGTATTCTTTGAAACATATTTTGTGTTCAGCAGAAGTCAAGTCACCTTTATTTATATAGCGCTTTTAACAATACAGATTGTGTCAAAGCAACTGAGCAGCATTAATTAGGAAAATAGTGTGTCAATAATGCAAAATGACAATCTTAAACACTAATTTGAAGAAATAATGGCGTAAATGTGGGTCTGTTTCTAATACAAAAGCTATCATATAACTTCAGACTCTGAATATACAGCTTATATTAAAGATTATCTGAAGTACTAGTGTATTGTACAATATTAAAATCCTTTGAGTTTGAGTATAATTTGTGTGTGACTTAGTTGCGATAATAAACACGACAACTGATAATTCACCTCAGATCGTGGGAAAAAAAACTTGAAGGAAACGAGTGTTCAATCTGTGAGCAAACAAGTATATTTCATAACAAGGTTTGCATCAGTCAATGTGTATGTATTTTGAATAATGTTAAAATCATTGAATTTTAATAAATTGATTATGTACTTGGAGAGCCCCGCCCACACGCTCTTCTATATCTGACATGATGGACAGATAAATGTACTTAAACCTGGAATCTTATCACATTGCAACTGGTTACCGTATTAGGATACTTCACGGTAGGGCTGCGTGATTAATCGAATGCGATTGTCATGCGCATTTTGTTAAAAAGCCGGTTCTGTAATCAGCAGGAAATCATCATCACGTGCTTTCAGATGGAGCAGCATTTACTACACAGAGCCGTAGTTCACTGACAAGTTACGCAAAAACATCGCAGACGATTTTATTGCGCTATTCTGAAATCGAAGAAATCATTCGCGATAATGACAGCTGTTTGCGTAGCTTCTCAGTGAACTACGGCTCTGTGAAGTAAATGCTGCTCCATCTAAAAGCATGTGAAAATACCACATTTAATAACATATTTTTACTCCAAACTCACTTCATAACGTCAGTCGAGTGTTTGAAATAAATCCTTCTGTGAGATGTGGCTTCTTACACAGAATGAGGCACGCAACATATTTCATAGTATTTAAGCAGTGATAAAGGCATTGCATTATAAATGTACTTTATTTTAATGAAAATTATAATAATAAAAACTCAGATAAACCGTATATTGCCGTAGTCGTGTGTTTATTAGTCACCAAATAAATCTTCTGTTTATTTGGACTCCAGCGTATTTGGAGTTTCAGCGCGAGAGCGCCCTCTGGCCTTCGGATGGAGATTTACTGCTGATCACAGAACCGTGCTTCACTGAAAGATACGCATGACAATCGCAGCTTCTGTCGAAT